ATGGCTGTACCATTTCACATTCTTCTCAACAGTTTACCAGGCTTGTAGTTTCTTTACATCTTCACCAACCCAGTTACTTTGTTTTTACTATTATCATTATTATTATTATTACTATTATATCTATCCTGGTAGGTCCTTCTGAATTTGTATTACAGTAAGTACATTTTCACTGGGTACAGTGATGCATGCCTATAATCAATCCCAAGCTACTACGGAGGATCACAAGTTCAAGGCCAGCCTAGGCCTAGCAAGACCCTGCCTGAAAATAAAAAATAAAAAGGCCTGGAAATGTAGCTCAGGGTACTGCACCCCTGTTTGATTTCCAGTTCTCCCCTTTTTATTCAGGTCATGTGGATGGAGCACAAGAAACATGAAAACATAGAGAATTTTCTGGGTTCACTTTCCTTCTTCCCACTGCTTACTTCCCTTATAACTTCTTCCTTTTTGCAGCTCAGGAAAAATAATGCATAGCAGCTCTCTTAAAGGAGGCAGATAAATGCTTGCCCTTTAATTTATATATGTAAAGAGACTGTTGTCTTTCTTTTGAGGCGGAGTCAGAGTCAATGAAGGTAAAAGATAAGGTCCTTTAGAGAGTCTAAGTAAGGTATTTGGGAGACCAAATATGTATTCATTTTAGGCAGAGAGGAACCAGATTTAACTAGGCTCACATAGATAGATTATGTTTAAAAACAAAACATTTTCAGAGTGTGGAAGTGCTCACCTGTAGTCTCGGCACTCTGGAAGCTTGAGGCAGGAGGATCACAAGCAGTCTGAGCAACTTAGCAAAACCTTGTCTCAAAATAAAAAAAACTTTAACGGCCTTCAGATATAGCTCAGTGTAAGGCCCTGGGTTCAAGTCCCAGTATTTCAAATAATAACAAAACAAAACAAAACATAAATATGTGTAAGTTTAAAAAATATTCAAGGTACCTAATTTTTAAAAGTTATACATTTGCATGATTCAAAACTCAAAAAGTTTAATGAAGTATACTGTGAAAGTTCTCTTTTCTATTCTATCCCCCAGTTTACACACTTCTACTTTGATTCCAGGAAATCACCATTCAGTTGCTTGTGTATCTGACAGGATTTTCTTATGCTAAATATATGTGGAAGTTTTGCTTTTGTTTAACATTTCTATCTTTGGTTATTTTAATAGAGTACTTTTTAGAAAAAGAAAAAGTGGAAGCCATGCCTATTTCTCACAACTGAGGACATAACTTGAACATTTAAGGAAAACCCCCAAATGGTGTATATGCTCTCCCTCACACAAGTGCCCTAGGTAAGTAAGCTGATGAAGGTCAAATGGAGAGATGACTTTTGAATACTGACTTCCAAATCTAAACGTGAAAGTGACAGTAACATCACGAGCTAAAGTCAACTTTTACACTACAAACCCCAAACATATGGTTAAACTCTGCTGAAACATACTGAAAAACCACTCAGAAAAATCTGAGAAGTAAGCTGGGTGTGGTGGCCTGTAACACAAGCACTTGGGAGGCTGAGGCAGAAAGATAACCAAAAGTTAGAGGCCAGTCTGGGCTATATAGTGAGTTCAATCAAGGCCAATATGAGCTATAAAGTGAGGTCCTATCTCAGTCGCACCCCACTCCCCCAAAAAGAAAAAAAATCAAAGTCGTAGGCAGAGGTTAGGGTGAAGGAGGCCATTGTCTCCTTAGAAAAACTCCTGTAGGGAAAGTAAAGAGAGACTGGCGAAGTTAGACGCAGGTGCTTAGGGCTTTCTGCTGTTGAGGTTGTCATGGTTTTTTTTTCTTTCTTTTATTCTGATGAACGTCCCCTTAAAGCTGAGCAAATGCTGAGGAAAATGGGAAACTTCATCCTGACAGGGTCAGAGAAGAAGGCAGATTATTTGTTAGTGCCTGAGGGACTTTCAAATTTATTGTGCTGCTGAAAGAAGAAAAAAGTTTGTATGTATCAATTATTTAAATTTTTATTTGCTCTGGAGTTGGACATAGAGGGTAGGCGCTCATCAGTTTCAGCTTAATCATCGAACACTCACTCTCACCCGTGTGGGGACAGGACAATACACAGGGACAAGCTCTGGTTATGAGCTGAGAGGAGGGGACCAGGCGCCGGTGAGGTGACAGGTAGGTTGAAGCCTAACACTAAGAGTTCGCCACGCTGTCCGGGTAGCAGCGGCCAGTGCCGAGACTCAGAGGTGCAGTGCTCTGGTGGTGTTTGAAGAACAAAGCGAGGGACGGAGTGGGAGAGAGGAAAGGGGAAAGTGGAAGGCGGCAAGATGGAGAGGAGGTGGGAAAGTAGAGGAAGAGAAAGAAAATGAGGAGAGGAGGAGTGGGTAGAGGACGCTGTGGTACGTGGTGATTTTTATTTCCTGCAGTATGTTTGCAGAACATAATCATTACAGTCCTTGTGGAGTTTGGTACAGTAACATGACACATCTTAATCCTTTTTTTATTCCCTTCCCCTGCCCTTCTTTCTGCTCCTTGTATGTGGTAATATTTCTGATGACCGAAAACCAGGAAACAATCACTGTGTTCTCTGAACCCTTATAATACTATAAATCACAAAACTGCCACTTGCATAACTTCATTTCTCTCACTAAAGACAGTATGAAACTTTCATTTTTGGGGGGGGGGTGGTATTGAGCCCAAGACCTCATGAATGCTAGGTAAGCACTTTCTTCACTGAGCTACATCCTCAGCTCTAAAAATAAAAATTTTGAAAAATAAAAATTCTTGTTCCTTAAGTATCTACCACAAATCTTTTACATATCAGAGGTACCCATCAGCCATCTGACTAAGTAAATGGAATTCAGACCTGCATTGCTGAATAACTGAGCCACTAGGAGGGTTCATGTTTGTATCCAAAGTTGTCAACATGTCCGGTGAGTTATAGTAGTCTCTCTCTCCCCTTTTTTACAGAAGAGGGGCTAATGAAAACATTTGAAAAGACATTCTCAATTTACTCTTGGCCATTTCTGAACTTGCTGTAAACAGCTGGAATGATTGCATTGTCCGCACCAGTATCTAGTTCATTTCCTTTAAAGAGCCCTTGCTTAAGGAGGAGCTAAGTACACACAAAAAAGTGTTGTGGCTTATGTTTGTGTTCAAGTAAAGACACTGTTTTCTCCCCAATGACAGACCTATTGCTGTGATGTCTCTTCAAAATTCTCTGCCATGTTTAATCTCAGTACTGTAAACTGCAAATTTGGGATTCCAGATTGATACTGTAAAAAACAAAGGTTATAAGGTAGAAAAATTTTCTCTGCTTATTACTGGTGGATATGACAGTGGAGATTCCAGAAACCATTGCTGGGGTCGTTATGGATCAGATTGTCCCCTTGACATGTAACAATCATGTCTACAAATGCCCTGAAACATGCCCTGTGGTACAGCCATAGGCACATCCATCACCCCTATCCAAGTCTGGCTGGCATGCAGCATTCTCTTTGCTAGAAGACCACAAGTTTCCCATTTCACTGTTCATCCTATTTCCCAGATGGTTAAGCTATCTCAGTTTGTCCCTCTTGTGGGAAGAGCTAGCCATACCGTCCTCAGAGCTGACCACACTTGGTTCTTCATCCTCTCACCTCATTTTCCATAAAATAATTCATCTATTCCAATGGTCTAGGTCCTTCATAGGGCCATAGAATTTCCTTATTCATCAGTAGATGAATAAACCCACAAACCCGTAGTTTAAGTAGAGTGTAGGCACTTCAGACCTGAATGATGGTGCTGAAAACTAGAGTCTAGGCACTGGCTTGCACCCGGGGAAAGAAGGAGGGCCCCTGGCTTCCACGGGAGAAAGCGCCTGGAGCCCAGGTAGCTGCTGTCTTGGACTAATCGATATCAATCTGTCGTGTTTCCGCACCCCCAAGCTTGTAATGGAATCACTATGGAAACAACATTCACGTATCAGAAACCTATTTTTCACCCAATTTTTATTTGAATGCTTTGCTTTTTGAATGGTTTGAACCCATAAGGTGAGGCATGCCTGATTTTAGAGCTTTGTCTGAATTCAGGCTCTCAGCTCATTAAAATAGGAAAATACAGAAAACCACTCCACCACTAGTTCAGCAACAAAAATATCGCAAGCTTTGATTTATGAAGTTATTCTACTCACTTGAACTATTTTCTCAAATAGGGAAAAGTAAAGCAGAGCTAGCAGTCACGAAGAACAAGGTAACATTGAGTTTTGTAAAAGTAGAAAACAGCAATTATCCATCCACTAGTTAACACTGCTTAAGTATTTCACACAGGACATTTTTCTCACTTGCGGAGCTTACTACTACTGTCTCTAGTAACATCTGCATCCCTGCTGGCCGAGATCTTTATTTTGTAGTCACATATTCAAAATTTATGGCCAACAGGTAGGCAGGAAGGCTGGATTCTCTCCCCTCCCCTAACACTTTTTCTCTTAATTCAGAGTTTAAAATATCTACTTTGTTCTTTGCCACTGTATTTTCACTTCATTACTTGGTCTTTTTCTAGAGTTTGACACATTCAAAGTTACTCATTCAAATTATGTAAAAACTAAGAAACCAAGTCCTTGGGACAGACGCGGGTTATATCGCACAGGTTTCCTCTCACCCCATCCAGAATTATCCACAGCGTCGCCTCTGAATTGTTTCGGCAAGGGGAGATAGCTGTCTCCTCGCCAGCGGTAGGGAGAGGCGGGTTAGCTCCCTCCAGCATTTACTCAAGGCCCAGCCACGCCCGGCAGCGCATTTAGCCTTACGGCTCCGGGACTCTCTCTGCGGGCGCGCAGGTTCTAGGACCGCGCGAAGGCGGGCGGGAGGTGGGGCCCGCCTCCTTCCCCGCCCCCAGATGGGTGGGGCGGGCTGGAGACCCCCCTCTAGCTCTAAACCGTGAGGGTGGGCGGGGCCACACGCAGGGTGGGGCGGGCCGGTAGCCGCTTTCGCCTTAGGGCGGAGGAGGCGGGCGTGGAGGGGTAGGCGGGCGTGGAGGGGTAGGCGGGGCCACGCACAGCCGCCGGGAAGGCCGGGCATTAGGGCCTCGGCGGAGCCGGTTTTCCAACGTGCTGGGCGGAGTGTGCGGCGAGCGGCTTCGCGGGCAGGCGCGGGCCCCGAGGCAGCGGCTGCGCCCTGCGCCGGGGCGGAGCCGGGGGCGGGCGGCCGGCAGGCGGGGGCTGGGGCCCGAGGCCGGGAGTGCCAGAGCACCGGCGGGGAAGACGGCAGCGTCGGCTCAGTAGGCTAGGTGCGTGGGTCCGCGGCGGCTCGGGGTCCGCCCGCGGGGTGTGGTGCGAGCGGGCGGCCCGGTTGCCCTTCTTCCCCGCCCGCCGCCGCCGCCGCCGCTGCTGTGATTGGGTGGAAGATGGCGCTGGGCGGATGGAAATCCTAATGACAGTCTCCAAATTCGCCTCCATCTGTACCATGGTAGGTGCGGCGGGCGGCGGCGGGGGCGGCTCGGGCTCTGCTGGCGGGCGGGCGGCCCGGTCCCCGCCCCTCACGGCGCTGCCCACCCGCTGGGCCTGGCTCAGGGGCGGCGACGCGCGCGGCGGGGGAGGGGAGGCGCGCGTGGCCGTGAGGGGGCGGCCGAACGGGACGTGGCGGCGAGCGGCGAGCGGCGGCGCGGGTTAGGCCGAGGAAGGACGCCGGGCCCCAGCGTCTCCATTTCTGTCTGGCGGCGCGCCGTGCGGGAAGTGTCCCGGCAGGGTGGGGGTCTGCCGGCGGGAAGGAAGGGTCTCGTTCTGCCGGGCGAGCGGACGGAAGTCAAGTGCACATTTCCTCCTCCTCGCGCCTCTAGCGGGGCGGAGCCCCCGGCCCGGTGTTGAGGGGACGGGGTGTACGTGAAGTTGCAAACTTTAAATAAGTACTGTGGAAATTTTCTCCATTTTCTACTCCGAGAGGAGCGAGCTCTCTCGTTTTCAACATGTGTCCAGGTGGCAGTCTTGTTCCTGGAAATCCACTTTAATCCTGAGAAGCAGCGTTAGCTTTTTTCATCAGTTGTTTACTGTAATGCTCTAGTCTCCTCTGAATGAGACTTGAAGTGTACTTACTATCTGTTCGGGGACTGAATGTAAGGGCGATTGTGTTAGTTTTATGTAGGGCTTTTAAGAGTACTTGAAGGGAAGAGTAGTAATGTCCGTTGAAAATCCCGAATTAAGCAAAACGTGGGTGGGTTTAAAATTTGTTTTTGTACTTGGTCAGAAGGACTACAGTTTTTCACATGAAGTGACAACAAGCTTTTTTCATTAGCTCCTTTATGAGCCTGTACGTAGGGATCGTAATTTATGAATCGTCACTGAAAAAAGTTACTCTTTGCAACGTGTGCATAGTGTTGTTATTAAAGACTTCCACAGTTTTCTGTTTTAGTTCTTTGCACCCGGTTTCATATAGATTCCCAACCAGTCTTCCAAATAAGAGTGGTATGTTTTATATATTTTTCTTTTAAGGAGTGGTAAGTCAGATCAGGAAGATGTTTTAAAAGCTGGTTCTGTACTGCATTCTGTGGAACGCTAAAAAAATGGCCGAAAGCAGGTGGGCTTAAAATCTATAGCATTAAAGAAGTCATTGAAGGAAGGAGTCACTGAAAAATCGGATTTTCCACATGGATTGTTCTTTCTCACAATTTACATTTTAGGAAAATATTGTTATTAAAGGAACTATGTTAAAGCCATTTCTGAGGATTATTTGGGCTAGTTTTAGATATGCCAGTTATCTTATTTAATTTCAAAGCGTATGATAAGTCTTTTACAGTGAAAATTTTGCCACAGTGCTAAGCTACACATTTTGTGGGTTCATAGTTCATTGTCAAAGTCTAGGGCTTCATCTTTGCTGACTATTCATTTGCTCAGATGTATCACGTTCACATTTTAGCACCTACTAAGTATCAGACTCCTGAATGACGGGTACAGTAGTGACCAGTAGTCCATGCTCATGGTGTTTATTTTTTCGTTGGGGGAGACGGTATTCATATAAACTATAAATATATACAGTAATCAGATTAGAACAGTGAAACAGATTTGTCAGGGTCACTAATAAGTAAGTGTAATTCTGATCGCAAGGATGTGAGACTCTGAAGCTCTTTCTAGGGCTTCCACCCCAGGTGCATTAATGATATGTGTGTATGTGTCCTTGGTAAATATGAAAACATCAATGCTGGCCAAATGAGATTGTTCCAAAAGTATTATTAAAATTGGATATGTCCATACTCATATTTTAATAAATTCTAATGCACTCTCAGAATAGTGCTGATATCTCTTAAGTAATTTGCAATTTCATTCTCTAAAGAAAATTGCCATCCATCTTCTGAGAATTTTAAAATTGAAAGTCAAGAAAAGCAAAAGTACTTACCTCTGCCTTTATAGATGCTGTTTTTCGAGGCTTGGAACAGTTTTCCCATCCTTGTCTATAAGTTTGTACCTGTCTCTTGAACTGGTAGTCTTAACCTAAATAATCCTACCCATGTCCATCTGCTACATAAAATTTCACAGCATTTTTGTAATCTCAGATTTATTGTGTAGTATATTTTTATCTTACCTCTTATTAGATTGTGAAGGCTTTCAGGTGAAGGACTATCATTTATTTCTGCAGTTTGATCAGGAGCACTCTATACACAGTATAAGAGTCTCCCAAAGTCCTTCATTTCTCTACTGATAACCAGAAGTGAGTTTGGCTAAGTAGGGGTCACATTGGGTGAATGTGGGAAGTAGGAGAAAGAAGAGTCTGGTCTTTTTAAGAATGATCCTCCTCAGAGAGTCTGCAGCTGTGAAAACATTTAGAATTAGTGGAAATTTTATTTTATAAATATCGAAGTTTACATAATTCATTTGTCAAAATAAAGTACAGGGCAAATCTGTAATATCTAATTGGGTAAAATAATTCTGTTAAAAACAAATGTTTTCAGATATATCTTATGTTAGATAGCGTTTGTTCTGCCTACATTGAAAAGTAGTAAAATTTGTTTTTCTTTGTATGTTATAACCTGACCCAAATGAGTGACTATGTTTAGATCACAGTGAGTAAGTTTGCCAAGGTACCTCTAGATATGCCTTTTATACATGAAATAGTAGTACATTTTCAATTTCACTTTTTCTCCCCCTACAGTACTGGGCTTGAACCCAGTCCTTTATTATTTCTTTATTTTGAGACAGGGTCTCACTAAGTCACTGAGTTGCCCACACTGAACTCAAACTTGGGATCCTTCTGGCTCAGCCTTCTGGGGTGCTGAGATTACAGGTGCATGCCACCACGTGGCTAGATGCTGTTTGTTTTGCCTTTGGAGTACTTGCAAACTTCATGCCTGGCACAGAGTGGCTACCAGATTAATAATATTAATAATTGTGAATAATGGGGCAAGTGACAGAATACTGTTGTGTGTAGAGGGGCTCTGGTTTGAAGTGGAGGTGAAGGCCTTAGAGTGGCATCTGGTGGCTAATAAAGGTGTCCATATTGGCGCTTGTATGAAGACAGATACTGCTTATTGTTAGCTTCATAAATGTTAAGCTCTTACCCTGGTCATTATTGTTTGTTCTGTTGGGGTTGCGGGAGTCCCCACTGAGAAGGAATTGGATACTTTGCTGGGGGTAAAGTGGAATTAGATTGTGGAGTAGTACTGGCCTGACTGCTTGCCCATCCTCTAGTAGAGACCACTAGAACATGGTATTAATGAGCCCTGGGCCACAAGGTAGGTGCTATGCGAGCAAGTCTAACAGGTTGTACTTCTTGAAAAAGCTTGTGGGTAGCACAGCACCCTGCTATGTAAACTTTAAACTACTTACTGAAGAAGTTGCAGGTAAAGGTTACTGTTTGCCTTTTGGTATTGACTTAGTCTCACTGCTGGGTAAGTTATGTGTAGTAAATGTAACTTATCAGTCCAGAAAACAAGAAGTGGGGGGAGGAAGGCTCAAAATATCAGTTTTGTTGAGGGAAGGAGTGATGAGAGAGGTCATAGTCCCCTCTTGTAGTCAGACTGTTAAATAATAAAGCACCTTGTTACTTCTCAAGAAATTGGGCAAATTCTTTTTATTAACAAAATATTTTTTTATGTTATTAGTAAGATAGCAACTTCTATGCCAGGAACATTCAAGTGTTGCCATTGTTTTATTATATTTTTGCTGCTTTTATTGCAAATGTTAATTTGAGAAGGAAGAAAACTTAAACAGTGAGGACTCTTCTGTCACTTAAAGGAATGTTTGAGCATGCTGAGGCTTTGGGGAGAGAGAATGTTTAGGAAAAATATTGTAAAGATTTTGTCTGCTTTTCTTTTGGATTTGGGTAAAATACATTTTGGACATTAAAAATGATACATTCTCATTACAGAAAATCTAGAAAATACAGGATCTGTGAGAAAGTATGAGAAAATCACTTGAGTGTATTTTCTTTGACTTTAAAAATTGAGCTTTTTAAAAATTTTATTTTATCCCCCCCCACAAGCCCCCTCCCCTTCCTATGTACAAAAAGCTTTGTTTCCATTTTTTCCTGTTTTCATGTCCCTTCCTTCTTTTCTTCCTCTCTCCTCCCTTGTTCTCCTCCCATTTGGACATTTTCTTCCCATTTCTCAGCATTCGTTATACATCTCAGTCCTTATTTCCACATTCAGTTTCTCACACCAGAGAAAAAATGCGGTGTTTAAACACGTGTGTCCGATTTATTTCACGTAAGAGTATGGTCTCAAGGTCCATCCATTTAGCTATAAATATCTGAAGCTCATCCTTGTTTATGGCATAGTAGTATAAAAAACCATATTGTATAAAACCTCCGTTGAATAAAAAAACCACATCTTCTTTATCCTCTTGTCAGTTGATGGGCATTTGGGCTATTTCCAAGATTTAGCTATTACAAACTGTGCTGCTATAAACATGGGTGTGCATATATTGCTGTGGTATGATGCTTTTAATTCTTTCGAGACGAGGTATAGCTCAGTCAAATGGAACCTCTAGTTTTAGATTTTTTGAGAAATCTCCACACTGATTTCCACAGTGGTTGCACAGTTTACATTCCTACCTGCAGTGGAGAAGGGTTCCTTTTTCTCTACAGCCCCTCCAGCATTTGCTATTGGTTGATTTCTTGATAGACATTCTTTCTGAAGTGAGATGGAATCTCAGTGTTGTTTTAATCTCAGCATCTCTCGAATGACCAGTGATGTTGAACATTTTTTCATATATTTATTTGCCGTTTCTCATTCTTTATCTGAGAATTGTCTTTATTTCAGATGCCCATTTTTGCATTGGGTCTTTAAATTTGAGTGGTCTGATTTTTTTGAGTTCTTTATATATTCTAGATAATAGTCATTTATTTGACTAGCTAGTAAAAAATTTTTCCCACTCTGTGGATTGTCTCTTCACTCTGTTGGTGGTTTTTCTTTCTGTGCAAAAGCTTTTTAATAAGGTGAGGTCCCAGTTATTGATTCTTTGTAGTATTTTCCATGCAGT